TTTCGTGGGGTTGGGCGTTTGAAGAGAAGAAAAGCGTGTGGAAGATGTAAACAACAGCGCCGCCTAAGAGCACGCGTGTCAAAAGACTTTTTCGAGGAGCAGTAAAGTTGAATGCCATTGTAGGACCTGTAAAAGTCACAGGACGCGTTTTGTGAGCGAAATGCAAGAGGTGTTGGCAGGAGCAAATGGACACGTACCAATATAGATCTGGAAGGTGGGAGTGAGTTTGTAGGGTTATGTCTTGAATTACTCAGTGTAAGCCTCGGAATATATCAAACTAATCGATAGAGACACTCACTGAGGTTGCCTCTGCGTTCCGCTTCAAACTCAAATTTCGGATCGCATCAAGCTAGAGGCTTTGAGCTAAAATTTGATGCCCGGACGCGTCAAAAGGGCTCGACGATTGAAGAGCCAAGGTCAAGCGACCTGAAGAGAGGGGATTTGCTGTGGTCGACGTTGTCTGGCAGGATAGGCTCCTTGCCCGGCGCTTGGGCTTCCGGTAAAAGGGGATTTCAAATAGGCTGACCAAGCCTGGACCCACACATCTTCGCCAGAAGATGTACCGTAAAAGCCAACCACAACAAACAGGTCAGTCAAAGACGACCTAGGCAAGCACAAAACAATGCGTAGCCCGGAGTCAAACCTGGTCCCTAGAGGGTGCGACGGGGGTCGAATCCGGACAGGGGTCGGAGGGGCCCTAGGACCGCGTCCGCCACTCTATCGTCATCGCATATAAGTATCCCAGAAATGATAAAACGCGGGTTCACGAACCTTTGTTTCCTCTTTTAAATAGGTCGAGCGAGGGCAAGGGGCATGACCAGGATGCGAGAGAAGAAAGGGATCCCGGCAAGGACACAGAGGAGGATGTTTAAGTACGAGTCGTATCTGTCGTACTCGCCTGAGAGGATGTGTGTACATAGACAAGCAAACAAGCACCCACATGCCCGGCGCTTCTAATAAATAGTAAGGCGATCTCGACCTCGACCAAACCGCCACATCCACTAACGATGCGTGCAAACCAAGAAAAGGCTGGTAAGCTGCAAGGTTTTTTTTCAAGCTTCCAACTTACGCGTATCTAGTCAACCGCAAGCGCGCTCGGGTCTACCGAGCGGACAAGAGTCCGGGCAACTATGATGAAAGCAACGGCGACGATAACAACATTTTTATTCCAGACGGTACGGCGCTGCACACACCTGGCTTGCTTTGCGTTTACGCTGTTTGCGGAAAAATACTCAAGAGCAGGATGTTTACATTCCAGATGGCCCCGTTACCCCACTTGCGAGCCCTAAACCCTTGTCCTCTACGCGCAGGACTCCTTCCAATTCGAAAGCTACCAAAAAGCCTCGTCCAGTTCCAAAACGCCGTTCCATCATCCCTGTGACCATCGATTAGGAGATGCATGACGCCACCAACGACGCCACTGACATGGATGCCGACGAGGGGGTAAAACTTATTCCTCATTCTACGTTCGAAGACATTTGGCGGAGCGCAGTCTACAAGGCTGCATACAAGATTCGCCATAACAAGTAGCTGCTTTGTTGTATGATCACTTCTCCACTAATGTATTATTGTTGCACCGCATATATTCAGGTTTCATGACAAGACCTCTGCGTGCTTACAAGAAATGCCACGCGGTGAGTAGCTATAAAACCCCCAGCCTTGCCAGACATCAATTCCCATTCCTTCCTCTTCCTCCCATTGCTCCTCTTCCTCCCATTGCCCCTCTTTTGCTCCATGTTCCATCATCCCACTAATAAAATGGGCAAGCATGGCCGAGGTCTGTTCGGTCGGTAGCTGCTCGTACTATCCAAGACTACGTCCGCATCTACATCTGTGTCTACGTCGGGGCCTGGATCTGGATCCGGTCAGACCCCAGCTACTACATCTAGCAAACCCAAAGGTCTCTCCCAACTCAAAAATTTGATACTCAAAGCGGCCAACAACCCGCCCGGCGGTCTCAAGGCTGTCCAAGAAGAGGTCGCCGACATTGCATTCCGAATCGTCCAACGCAAGAACTCGTTGGCGGAAAAGCACTACGCCAACGCCAACGCCTCGTGGGAGATATGTATTGGAGCTCTTACTGGCCCAGAAATTCTCGCCGATGTCTAGGAGGTCAACGTTATATTCAAGCTCGCCGCCTAGTACATCCCCTTTCTTGTAAGTTGTTGTGCCATTGTCAAGCTGTCGACTTATAGTGTGCTAGATTTAGGTCACCGATGGTCACAAGGAGGACCGTGTCCAAGCCATTTGCCGCTGGTTGGTGTGCGCATATCATTGTGTGCATTGTCAGCTATGCGCATGATAATGAGACTGGCCAAAAGTGGTCTTGTATTCCCGACGCATCAACACTCACTAAGGATCGCCGCTCTCGACTCGTCGACTGTCCGAGCGGGTGAAAACTTTGGCCATTGCTGCTGGTCTAAGTGCCAAGCTTACATATTACGACATTCACCGTGACCTTGCGGACGAGGCAAGTGAATTGTTCTTTTCTCTATAATATGCCCACTTGTTTCTAGGTCTCGATCAAGCTGGGTGGCCAACAAACGAGCCTTATTCTTGGACATGAAGACGCTAGTTCAATGCTGACCGAGTCGTATAGCCTTGGGCCAGGGAATATCGATGTGCTGGGAGTCCGCACCGGTGGGACTTCCGAAGAGCTCTTGCCTGGCGCCATGGCAAGTCCAATCTGCCCAATTGGCGAGTGATTATTCACTTGCTTTATAGAGTCAGCTTGAGCTTCGTCGTCAAACTGGGACTATGGTGAATATGATATCCAAGGCAATCTCTCAATATGCTCGGCAACAAGAGAATGGAGATGAGCAAAGCGACGACGAGGAACAGGAAGAGGATGACGAGGAGGAAGGCATGCAAGTTGACGAGGCTTTGGAGCGTTTGAAAAAGGGCCGCAAGCGACTCATTGCCGAGGCACGAAAGAATGCTCTTGCGGCAAGTTTCTGTTCTGTCGCATATTCCGTCACCGATTCTTTTCGCAGGAATGTCCGCATGTTGCTTGATGCAAAAAGGAGGCGATGCAGCTCTGGAATCAATACTTGGATTGTCTCGATAGAGGCAGCCCACTGCACGCAGCCGCTGTTGAATTGAAGCCAGCAAAGCAAAACATCGGGAGGATTGAAAAACTCGACGAGTATTCGAAGCTCTCCAAGGCCAAGCGGAAAAAGGCTGAAGCGGTGGGTCTGGTGCTTGTTGCTAGCATTGCGCTAACATGTACTATCAGAGACGTTGCGCCTGGCATTTGACAGTTGGGGGAAGCAGAACCAGAAAACGTCGCGTGCAGCTGCAAAGCGCAAGACAGAACAACTAGGCTACGAGATGCACAAGTACAACGAAGACAGTTATTACGACAAGAACAAGGCGATCAACCACGTTGCTAAGCCCTCAAAACTCGTGGCGGCGGCGGCGGCGTTGAGCTCAAAGGTTCCGTATCCGTCATACTAGGTGATCGTATTTATTTAAATCCGGACTACCAGGAGAAACAACGCTAGCTCGGCGCTATGAACAAGGAAGACGATGATACGGCGACCGAATTTGCGGTTTCAAACTACAATTCGGCTTTCAACTACAACATTGGACGCCTGGCGGGAGATCGTGCTCGACATACAAATCCCGAGGTCCGGAAGTTGTTGAAAGATACGGCCAAGAGCGTGGGGATCGACAGTGCAAACGAACCACCCGAGAACGAGCACCCATCGGTCGAACAGCAAGATGCGCCAGAGCAAGATGGTCAAGAGGAGGATATACCGGTCGAGGAAGTATGGGAGGATGAGGATACGACAAGCATTGTCGAGGGTGTCGACATCGTTCATATGCGGCGCTACCCGATGATGATGGTGTCCGGCCCGATTCTGTTTGAACAACAGTTTCGGAAGGAGATCGAGGTGTGTCCCTCCCTATATGCGCACTGTTTGTCTTTTAACCCGTGTTAGGCCAACGGCGGCGAGCTAGTTTGCCCTAAATGTCGCGAGTTCCTACCCGAAGGTACCTGGACTATTTTTACCACGGTCTCAAACCTTCAGAAGCATATGTAAGTCAATAATATTGGCTCTACAAACGTCAAGTTGAGTTCCACCAGGCAAAATGTGATTGGAAGGACCTCAAATAAGACGGCGTGTGGGCTAAACAAGTTCAAGTGCCCAGGTGCTTGCGACTCGAGCCAAACGTACACAGCACTTTCTTTCTGATGTTTTATAGTTGACACAGTGCAGGTTTGGCTCGGTTAGTGACATTCGAGAGCACTGCCTTTCTCCGGAGTGCGTTGATCAACAGGAATTTTTGGACATGGAGAAAAGCCATGATCTTGCGGAAAAGCTTCGCTTGGAGAGCCAAAAGGATGAGTTTGCAAGGGACAGAACATAGCATCCTCGAAATCGCCGCAAGATACGGGCCTGACAAATCAGATATTTCATTACGCTCGATCGGGATAACATTCTCGAGATGAATACAGATACGGTCCCTCATTCACACCCAGACCATGCTCATGACTTGTTTAGATCCCACGCCACGAGGTTGAACCATATGTTGACAAGATGTTGGCCCTCACGGGCTTCATTGGTGATACGCTTTTGTGATTTTGTTGATCCGTTGCACTCTGAAAGCCACACAATATGATTTTCGTTTGTTTTCCAAAGGCAATGGTAATATCTTGAGTCCCTAGGCACCTTCGTGTTGCACATCGGCCGGAAGATGATGTGGGTGCGCCTGAAAATGTCGTTGCAGCGACGGCAAAGGCGGAGAGCGTTGCATGAAAAAAATCCACGATCGCGGGGAAAAGCTTGGAGGATTGGGGAACTTGACAAGTATTCGGAGCCCTCCAAAGCCAAGCGATAAAGGCTGAAACGGTAGGTCTGGCGCTTAGCCCTCAAAAGATTTCAAATAGGCTGACCAAGCCTAGGACCCACAAATCTTCGCCAGAAAATGTCCCGTAAAAGCCAGCCGCAACAAAAAGGGCCAGTCAAAAGGATCAAAGCATATATAAAAAGCATTGCGTAGGCCGGGAATCGAACCCGGTTCCTCGGTAGTCAACGGCAGGTCGGGTTCGATTCCCGGCCCAGGCCATGTGATGGGAAACCGAGATAATAACCATTATACTACCTACGCCTGTTTGAGAGTTGTGATCTACGCCTCTTACTCGCAATGATATGACCATACCTCGTCGTTATGGCCAGAGTCCGCCAATACCGGGCTATAGAGAAGGGCAGGTACCATTAATCTGACGTGGGAGGTTATGGTCGGTACTCATAACAAATTCCGCATGATCTGGCCATCTCACCGGGGCGAGTCAATATGCCTAGTTGAGCTCGCACACGTCATGAGCGTCACCGCGCTCTACTTGAATATCTAAGCATTCTCAAACTTGTGGCTAAATTTTGAGCACACCGTAGCACCGAAATCCGAGGCCATCTGATAGGAAGCCGAGATAATAATAACCATTATACACTTGTTTCAGACTCATAATCCGCGCCCGTTGCTCGTGTTCGAATGACCGACCACTCCAACGTACTTCACACCTCTGACCACCATTGGATAACCAAAGCAACGTAAAACTGCAGGATTTTATATGCATACAGCCCCCGACTTTCCAAAATGACTTTCGCTACCTATTGTCGTAGGGACGACCAGTCGCAAGCGGGGCAAACTATACAACGAGTCTGCCCTGGCTCACACAAGTGGCGAATCAAATGCACCTGCTGGGGGCAGACGGCAAAAGGTCGACGTCCCAAAGCGAGCAGCCCTCATAGCGGTCGACGATCCCAACGTCAATAGTCAGCTTGCTGTTGTCTGTTTGGCAATCTCATTCAGTCAGATTTTGATATAGTGGTGGATAAATGCGAAGGACTTACAGGTAATGTCAGCAGAGTCAGTATATGCATCAATGTCGCGCCGTTGAGCAGGGTGGGACCGAGCTTACACAGGATTATTGTTTGTATTCCCACCGGGATAACCTGGTATACGATTATATCAGACATACCTCGATTTCGCAATGTACTGTAGTTGCCATACAATTGGTGCGTGACAGGTGCCGCCCATTCGTCATCGCGCTGCGTTGTGGTCAAATGTTAGAATCTAGGCGCAGCAGCAAGGATCTCAGCGAGGATCCACATTCCACCAGCCACACGCTCCCAATCGGACCCCGACTGCAAAGAACGGGGTGAACAAATCGGACCAGTCAAACGAAACGAAATACGGTGCATACAATCAGTCAACTGTTCCAACAAACAAAGTCAGCCCTCGCGCCTCTAATCGGGTAAACGGGATCACATACCTGTCCGGTGTGAGTCCCGGAGGGGTCAATGAAACAAGCAGCCGCCTCAACGAGCATCGAATTCGTGCCGATGAGCGCAGTGGCGCTCCTCCGCCAAGAATTTATACCCACCAGCTACCGGACCATTTTCACGCCTCTCCTCTGGGGCTCGGCACGATACTACCCATAAGCCGGCGCAGCGCAGCACTTGGCCGATGTGGAATGTCCTAAACTACTCGAGCGGCGGGAGGCAGATATTTAAGTCTCGCCTAATGCTTTCCAAGCCGTACTTCCAGCATAGAAACGCACGCAAGTTGTCTCCCTCCAAAACGGTCAAGAATAACGCCTAGGATGCACGAATACATGGTTAAGCATGGGAAAGTGTAACAATAGTTATGCTAGCGTGAGAGGGCCACAGTATATCAGTAGTTTATCCCAGGATCAAGACAAATTATTCCTATGGGTGCAGTTCCAAGCGCTCCGAGGTCAAGGCGAACATCCTTCCCACATGATACAATGCATCCTGAACAAGACACCCGTGGTCAAGCGCTAGCCGAGCACGCCGCAGAAAGAATTTCAAGAACTCGTGTAGCGAGTGGTGAGCTCCTCAATTGCCACCGCCGTGAGGTATGACGAGGGGGCGCGTGGTGGACGAGTTCACCTTTACCTGGGGGAACAAATGTCCGTCCGCCGGATTATGTAAGCACTGTGTTTGCTCCGAATTCTGCCCCAGGGCCTCAGTACATGCGGGGTTATCGCAGTTTATGCGTGTTGCTTGGCTCGCCACACAGACTATGGATCCCCCTGCTGCATAAATAAACGAAGTTAGACATGCATTGCCCGGGCAAACTTTGAAAAAGACTGGAGGTGTGCAAAGCTTGTTTGACTGTTTCCTAGCGTAACCCCCTAATTTCGTCCGGCAGTCGCCGCATTTCTATGCATGAGAGCTAATCGGTTGCAAAAATAATTACAAAATTCTATTCCGAAAGATGCAAATACGGCAATCAATCAACCGTCCTGATACAGTATCATGCACCCCCGATCATCATTGGGTGACCAAATAAACACAAAACTGTGGGATTTACACGCATACATCCTACAGCTTTCCAATAGAGCGATTCATCATATCTAATATGGTAGGAGAGAATTTTATTTAAAGTGCCTGGCAGTGCCAAAGGGACGACCAGCTTCCAACAGGCGAACTACACAACCGGTCAGTCCATGCTCATATATCCGACAAATCGAGCGCAACTGTTTGAATGCAGGCGGCGAGAGGTCCAGGTCCCAGAGCGCACAACCCTCGCAGCGGTCCATGATCCCGACACGAATCGTCTTGCCGTGGTCTATCCATCATCCTGTTAGACATTGTAGTTGCGTCACATTGAAGGACTTACAGATAACGCCGGCTATCCGCCCGCAGCTGCATTGAGCGCAAAGTAAGGCCAACGAAGAGTCGGGATTTTGAATGGGGTGAGGTGGCTTACACGGAGTTGTTGTTTGGATCTCCGCCGTGGTAGCCTGGTAGTTGTTGTATAACTCGTGCGAGACGGCTGCCACCCATCCGTCATTGCGCTGCTTTGCGCTCAACGTTGGAACATGGCGCAAAAGCAAGGACCTCAGCGAGGATCCACATTCCACCAGCCACGCTCCCAGCCCGACCTCGGCTGCAAAGAACGGGGTGAGTAATTCGAACCAGTCAACCGAGATGAAATACGGCGCATACAAGAGATCAACTATTTGAACAACCCAAGTCAGTCCTCGCGTTTGTAACCGGGTGAACGAAACCACATATTATCTAGCCAGTGTGAGTTCCGGAGGGGTCGATAAAACAAGCGGCCGCGCCAGCGAGCGTCGATCTCATGCCTATGAGCGCAGTGGGGAATGCAGGGTTCTTGTCGAACGTCATACTAAAAGGCGAAGAGGCAACCGAGAGAAGCGAACAGCGCTGAAATGGAGTGATACATACCAGCCACGATTTTGCGTAGGTTTTATATGCGCCACCCTGCGCATACACTGATGCAAGCGGCGAATGACTTGGTAGTATAGTGCACACGGGCGCCTTGGCGATGAGTCGTCTCTGAGCGAGTGCGCCAAGGAGGGTGCAGAACCCAAGCACCGGCGTGGGGATCTATTTTCATTGGTACCCGCCGGCCTCCATTAAAGTCACTTTGCCTTTGTCAGGTCACTCTCCCGTAAGATAAGCCGCTGAAATCCACAAACGCTCGGAGCCTCTCATCGAGTCCGTATCACCCTAGAAAGTGGCATCTCGCATCACTGCTGTTTGGCACTTATTTACCCCTATGTCAGAGGTGATGAGCCAAAACTCCTGGTTTGGACATGCTGAAACTCTAGCAGAGAATCAGCTGCGATAGTTGTTGCGAGGTTTTTCCGCTTCTTGCAAACAGCTTTGATGTTTGGCCATGAGGACTCTCGCCGAAACTGGTTTCAACTGAGATCCGAATGCGCAGAAGTTATGATTACAATAAATATGGAAGCATAAATACAGAGAAGCAGGAATAGTAATGGAAGTGACGAGCGACGATATATAAGCACCATGCAGTATCAATGCCCGGAAACGAGAACCTCTCAAATAGGTACCAAACGGAAGCGCTGTGTGTGGGAAGCCTTGGCATTGTATGTTGTCGTACGAGGCTTGGCCGTGCTCAGCTTGCCATTGAGCCTGTACTCTTCAAGTTTCCCGGCGCGGTGTGTGGTAAAGTGTCGCTTCATGTTCGAATTGGTATGAAACGCCGTGTTACAACGTTCAAAGGGGCATTTATGAGCTAAACTAAAATTAACACAAGCTTTGACAACGAACAGATAAACTGCTTACGCTTGGCGCCGGTGTGAACGTTGAGATGATCCTGGGTTATTCGTCAGTACCAGCAAAGCGAGCGTGAAAGCTGCACGTACCGCCAAGGTGCTTGGTCGTCGAAACATCTTTTGGCAATATCGGCAACGGCGACGGTCGAGTTTGTCCGATGGAGGCCTGCGTTCCTGCTGGATAATCTTGGTCTCTTCCTTCCATGCTTGAACCGCCCCCTTGAGCCAATCGTGGCTATCCGCTGTGATGAGTGGTTCGAGGGGCTCAGCAGAAGCGGCCCTGCTGGTTGAAGGTACGATGGGAGACGCCGCGGAGGACGAAGGCGACCATGGCATCCTTTTCTGGCCTTGGAAGGTACCCTGGAGTGGGTCGGGGATAGGCGAGTCCGCTTCGACTTTGGTGATGTCGCAATAGGCGCCGTTGGAGGCTGCGGCCTGCGAAGGGTCTTGAAAGCCAAAGTTTGAGTCGCAAGCAACGGCGTCCTGGGAGAATTCCGGTATCGTGTACGTAAAGCTCAGGTTTAAGATTGGATCGAGCTCGGTCCAAGTAGGAACCTGAACTCGATTCATGTTTTGATCAAAGGACCACAGGTTGCCGTCGATGCCAAAGTAGTAGGGCAAATTCTCGATGTATTCAACTTCGAGAATATTGTCGTCCAGGCTTGGGAGGGGTAGACCGCGGTGGATCTGCATAGTGTTGCCATACTTGTCCTCCACGAAGACGTTGTGACCTTGGTCGAAGAAATAGCGGTTATTCTCACAGAGAAAGTAAGCTAAACCTTTCGTCAATAGCATGAAAAGTGGGTTTGAGGAAACCTGACATACTCTTGCTAGGAAACTTGAATCCCATCTGGAGCAACCTCTTCGAGTTTGACAATGATCTTGGGTAGACACACAAAGTAGCAGAGTCGAGATGGGGTAGAGGGTTGTGGTTGAGTTCACAGGCCAAGTGGTGGAGGCGTGGCTTAAAAGGCAGAGAAAGGCGTGCCCGTGCTCGAGGTTTTGTACTTACATAAGCCCTCGTGGTTAAGCG